CCCCCCCCCCCCCCCAATTATTTAAAAGATGATAAGTATAATCCCCCACATTTCTACAAAACATCACCCTTCAAAAAATTATAAAACTTTTACAGCTCACCAAAGTTATGTAACCATTTCAATATACAAAATTACTCGATAGTCACACACCTGGCTCATCTTTAACCCTATTATCATGCTAATCATGCTATAAAAATGCTAGCGACATGCTAGTCACTTGCTAATCATGCTAGCAACATGCTAGTAGCATGCTAATCAGGCTAGAAACATGCTAGTAACTTGCTAATCATGCTAGCGACATGCTAGTCACTTGCTAATCATGCTAGTAGCATGCTAATCATGCTAGTAACATGCTAATCAGGCTATAAACATGTTAGTGACATGCTAGTAACTTGTTAATCATGCTAGAAACATGCTAGTCATTTGTTAATCATGCTAGCAACATGCTTGTAGCATGTTAATCAGGTTAGAAACATGCTAGTAACTTGCTAATAATGCTAGCGACATGCTAGTCATTTGCTAGTCATGCTAGCGACATGCTAGTTACTTGTTAATCATGCTAGCAACATGCTAGTATCATGCTAATCATGCTAGCAACATGCTAGTTACTTGCTAATCATGCCAGCAATATGCTCGTAACAGGCCAATCATGTTAAAAACATGCTAATCATGCTAGAAACATGTTATCAACATCTATCGAATCTATCTAAATTTTCAAACTTCAGGCTTTTACAACTACTTTAAACTTTCAGGCTAGGTTTTCTCAAGCCAACCTAAAGCTTCTTGATGAACTTTTTTTTATCTAGTTGGTAAATTAATTCAGTTATTAACAGCTCTTACAGAAAAAACCCTCTAATATTCGCTGCACAGTCACCTTTTGACAAAGCTCTAGTTTGTCTTATATTTTCAGTATAAGAAGAAAACTCTTTCAAGGGTGAAGGTGCAAGATTATTAACAATTTTGTACATTAAACAACAATTGTAGAACACAACAAAATTGTCAAAAGTTAAAAAAAAGTACTTGTAATCGAACAATGAGGATATCTGTTGGGTTTCTTGTCAAATGCTTTTAAAGCACGTTTATACAAAGTATATAAAGGTCTAAGAGTTTTACTAGAATTTAAGCATAGAAAAGATGTAAAGACATCCAAGATCTAATGCAAGCAGATTTCCTAAGCCTTTCTCTTTCTCTCAAACATATTTTATTGGATTGTACTGTTTTTATTCAGAGCTGTGTCTAACTGATTTATTTAAAAATGTATCACCTGAATGTATTTTAGAATTTTTGTCTAGTGTGCATCTGAAATGTAACCTTTTGTTAATTGTATACCTTGTGTACTTTATTCAGAGATCGCCCTGAAAATAGCCTTGATGCTGGCGTTACAAAGTGAATAAATGAATAAATAATTCTCTTTCTCTCCTCCAGGAGCCAATCGCATCGTGATCGAGGACTCCAACATCCTGCAGCCGGTGGGTCTGACGGTGTTTGGGAACTTCCTGTACTGGATCGACCGGCAGCAGCAGATGATCGAGCGCATCGATAAGATCACGCGCGAGGGACGCACCAAGATCCAGGCGCGCATCGCCTCTCTGAGCGACATCCACGCCGTCCACGAGCTGCGCATGGAGGAGTACAGTAAGCGTCTCGCTGAGCATCATGGGAAGGGGTTCAACCGATCACAAATCTCACGGTTCGGATCATATCACGGTTTCTGAACCACGGATCGGATTTCGGATCAGCAAGATTAAGCCACTTAATAATGAGAAGCATTAAATTAAGTACTCAAGTGCTGACGAATCTCAGTTAATCTAACATGGTACACATTGCAAGGTTTTGTTTTGTTTTTTTGTTTTTTTAAGTAATACCAAATAGAATAGGTACAGAAATGTAATAATTAAGTGTAACATAACACTGCATCGTATTCACTGTATAATTTATAGGCTGCTGCCCCTTTAAGAGCTGATGCACAGATCCAATATAATGAGACGCATCCGATTTCTTTCTCAGCTGTCCACTTAAGACATAACCGACTGCTTTTACCAGAGTGATTGTCGAGATCAGGTTTTGTCATAATTTTATGTGTACATGCGTCTGTTCAAAGGCAATGAGTGAAAGAGATCCCTTTTCTTTCGCTTGAATGGTTTAAAATCGCTTGTGTGTGTAAACACGTACAAATGATAAACTTTCACTCTATGTTTACATTTTGCAATGAATCTGCGGATCACATGCGTGCCGAACCGTGGGGCTTGATTCGTACGGATCAGCTACGATCCGTTCAGTCACTAATCATGGGTAGAGCGATGATAAATCGATGCAGAACCGATTCGTGGATGGATTCTGAGCTTATATTTTAACAGCAGATGGCGCTCTACTCTAGTTTTTATCCGCACTCAAACACTCATGAAGAAGAGCTCTTGCGTGTTCGGCTGAGTCTGTAATTTCACCTCGGCTCAGAATGCTTTTATGACACCAGATTAATGTAAACGGCCCACTGTGAACACCTTTGTGATTCGCTTCAACCTTTTCGAATCTTATGAATGATTATTTTCTCGATTCGTGATGCATGGATTTATTTTCCCAGTGGTAGCAGAGCGTCTGTGGGGCGTGTGTTGATGCGTGTGTGTGTGTGCAGATAAACACCCCTGCACGTCTGATAACGGCGGCTGCTCGCACATCTGCATCGTGAAGGGAGACGGATCCACGCGCTGCTCGTGTCCGGTTCACCTGGTGCTGCTGCAGGACGAGCTCTCCTGCGGAGGTACCCATCACACACTCATGGAGAAGTACAGAAGATCATGATGTTAATGTTTAGAATTATCTTTAAGGGTTAGGCCACACTTATATTTACTGCAGCGAGTTAAAGGGACAGTTCATCCAAAAATGAAAAATTGCACCTCAGGCCATCCAAGGAAACAAGCTGAAATACGGGCGAATCTGATCCTGTGAGGAATGAACTGATTCAGCTGCAGTCACTGAGCTGAGGCTGCTTTATTAATATAATTGCATGTACGTTACGTCATTGTGCGATTACGTAAACAAACTAGTGAATTGAACCAGTTAATTGAAACAAACTTTCCAAAAGAACCAGTTTGCAGAAGAAACTCGTATTTCCCCGTTTGCCTGAGGCTCTGGATTACAGGTGATGATGTAAACAATGTTCAGTTTCTTCGTTTCTCTTCATAAGTCACTATTATTTATATAGCGCTTTATACAGTACTGATTGCTAGTACTGCATAGTACTGCTAGTACTGAGCTAGTGTGTGGTGGGCGTTCTGGCGCACTATGGCTGCCGTCGCATCATCCAGGTGGATGCTGCACACTGCTGGTGGATGAGGAGATCCCCCCTTTCTATGTAAAGCGCTTTGAGTGCCCAGAAAAGCGCTATATAAATGTAAGGAATTATTAATTATAATTATTATTATGATTGTGTCAAAGCTGCTTTACAGTGTTAAACGGTAAAACAGTGTGTCGATAATGCAGGAGGACAATATCGTAAGACCTCAATATATCGTCAGGAGCCACGGGTATTAATTTTGTGATATGCTTTTTTTCGACTCTCGAGTGACGGTAGCCATTGACTTGCATTGTGTGCATCACCAAGTAGCACGGTTTCAGCTAAAACTCTTACTTCACTGTTCTACTGAAGAAAAACATCACCTACATCTCGAGTAGCCTGAGGGTGAAAATTAACAGCAAACTTTCATTTTTGGGTGAACTATTCCTTAACGACTTCATGTCTGGGCGATAATGTGTTTTCATTGTCACATGACCCTGCAGCACAAAAGCAATACATTGTATGGGTCAAAATTATCCATTTTTCTTTTATGCCAAAAATCATTAGGATATTAAGTAAAGATCATGTTCCATGAAGATATTTAGTAAATGTCCTACCGTAAATATATCAAAACTTAATTTTTGATTAGTAATATGTTCTCAATTCACACTTGCATAAATGAAGGCCTTGAAAGGTCTTAAATCAGAGCAGATAGTCTTAAATTCATAGTCATATTCATTGTCTTGATTTCCAGCACAAATATCTAAATATCCTTAAATCAAGATACATTTACTGGAGATGAAAAGTGAAGTGAAATTGAACAAAATGAAGTGATTTTATGATTAAAATGAGAACAAAAATCTGCCAATGGGGAATGAAAAAGAAAAATTTGTTCTTGTTTTAAGTATAAACTCACTTCATTTTGTATAATTTCTCAGAAAACTTCTCCAGTAAATGTATCTTGATGTAAGAATCTTTAGAAAACGAGACAAGAACACTGAGGACGAACATCATTTTTGTGCGGTGTGATCAGAAGTACATTAAAAGTTATTTCGGTAACACTTTACTTAAAGCCTTTATGTATAACGCATTATAAAGGGTTATTAAGGGGTATAATGCATTATAATTATTCATAATGTGCTTTGTAATACATTGTATCTTGTTGTAAATAATTATAACCGAATTTAAAATGCATAGTGTAACAAGGAACTGTGTTATAATGTATTAACTGTAGTGACAATTATTCATGAGATTCTACAGTGCATTATAAGGAGCATTACAAGACATAATTAATGCATTAAAACTACTTTTGTAAGCAGGTAAGAGACGCTCTGTTTTCTTCCTCAGACGCGACTGAAGAGCCGTCCTTTCCTCCCACGAACACCATCGGCTCTATCGTGGGTGTGCTGATGCTGCTGTTCGTGGTGGGCGCTGTGTATTTCGTGTGCCAGCGTGTGCTGTGTCCTCAGATGAAGGACGACGGCGAGACCATGACCAATGACTTCGTGGTGCACGGGCCGCCGCCGGTGCCTCTGGGATACGTGCCTCACCCCGGCTCTCTGAGCGGCTCGCTGCCAGGTGACAGGAACATCTGGGTCTTAATATCTAAACATTCTTGAATCAAGATGCATTTGTTTTGCAAGTAAAATAACTGAAGATATTATTGTTTTCTGTCAAAAGTATCACAATTTAGTTCGTTTTTGCTTAAAGGCACAATATGTAAGATTTTTGTTATAAAATATCCAAAAGCCACTTGCGCAGTGTGATATATTTCATGCAGTTGTGTACTTACGTTATCCCAAGGATTGGTAAATCCAGAGAAACTCATATTTTAAATAATGACTCGTCCCTGTTCCTCCCTAGTCTTTCAATGACGTAATATCCGCACTATCCTCGGTTCATAGAAACTAAACTAAACTAAATCCATAATGGCTGACGCGAATGAAATGAAAATGAAAGTGTTGACTGCAGCATTAAATTTAGATCTTTTTACAGTGTTGCGCATTATAACCAATCACACGCGAGTCTGTTGAGTTTATGAACGCAGTGGCCAATCAGAGGCGTCCAGATGAGGTTTGTTCAGTGTACGCGCTCGCTCTGCTCGCTCGCGAATTCTCTCGTCATAAACAACAGAGCGCAGATGTACGTATGATGCAAGAGATTCATTCATCAAACCATGTATAGACAGCTTTACTGACTGAAGTGTTTTTGAGAGTCTTAAGTCGCTGGGGTATATTTGTAGCAATAGCCAACAATACATTGTATGGGTCAAAATTATACATTTCTCTTTTATGCCAAAAATCATTAGGATATTAAGATCATGTTCCATGAAGATATTTTGTAAATTTCCTACCGTAAATATATCAAAACTTAATGTTTGATTAGTAATATGCATTGCTAAGAACTTCATTTGGACAACTTTAAAGATGATTTTCTCAATATTTAGATTTTTTTGCACCCTCAGATTCCAGATTTTCAAATAGTTGCATCTCAGCCAAATATTGTCCTATCCTAACAAACCATACACATTTCACAAAACTGACCCTTATGACTGGTTTTGTGCTCCAGGGTCACAAATGTTCTTTGCTCGCTTTCTCTGTATAATTTATTCGCTGTTTGAATAACTGTGGAAGGTACAGGTAATAAAAACATAATTCATTACCTCATCTGTGAACATGATTCGTGAATTCCATACATAAACGACATCTCCCATCGTTCCTCTCTTCTTTACAGCGTCATCAAGCTTTGCCTTCGTTTTGAAAATGTGAGCTCTAGCGGCGAAAACTTACATATTGTGCCTTTAAAACAAGCACAAATATCTGCCAACGGCAAGAAAAATAATCTTGTTTAGCCTTTGAATTAAGATAATTTTTCTTACACCATTGGCAGATATTTGTGCTTGTTTTAAGCAAAAACTAACAAAAATTTGATTTAAATTTTTTTTCAGAAAACAAGACATAATATCTCAAGTCATTTAACTTGGCATGTTGATTCAAGAATGTTTAGATATTTCTACTAGAAAACAAGACACAACTAGGAAGTCAGAGAATCATTTGTTGCAGAGTGCTGACGTGTGTGTCTCTCAGGCGTGTCTCGTGGGAAGTCGGTCATCGGCTCGCTGAGCATCATGGGAGGCAGCAGCGGTCCTCCGTATGATCGAGCACATGTGACCGGAGCCTCGTCCAGCAGCTCCTCCAGCACCAAGGGTTCATACTTCCCTCCGGTCAGTCGCAGATAAATTCTGTGTTGAATGGTATAATAAAAATCTTAGCCAATAGATGATTGCTAATGATCTGCTGTTGATGAATTATGACAATGTTTACCTTGTTTATATTCAAATGTTTTTATAAGATGCACATTTCATAATCTTCATGTTGAAATGAGCAGCTGGAAGTAGTAAAGCAGTACGTTTACATTTAGTTATTTAGCAGACGCTTTTATCCAAAGCGACTTAAAAATGATGACAATAGAAGCAATGAAAACCCACATTTCAAAATAAGAGCCCTGTGCATTTCAAGCTTGTTTATAAAAATAAAAAAAGGTATAATTAAAACTGGATATTATTGGTATTTTGGTTACACAATGAACTGTGTTTGGCATTTAATTTGATATAAATTGTCTCTGGGTCGCCTGTCATAGGAAGGAAAGATGAAAAATATTATTTAACACATTACGAATATAGATTTTACTAGTATCAGCGCGACGATCTGCTTGCAGCATTATTGATAGACCTTTAATTCTTATTTATTGAGACATTAGTACATAAACTAACTTCAGTTCATACAGTATGTATATGTGAAATAAATATTCAGTTGATTATTATATTTATTGTTTTATTTTAGATTACAGGGTTCCTGCGGGTCCTTAGTCTTGAGATATCTTAAAACGGTTATATTTCTGCCGTTGCAGAAGCGCCTCTTGCTGGCAGAGAATGAATGTGCAGTTTGTTTTTGTTCAGACCAGTGTGAAAATCGGCCCATGTTTCTACACGCAGAGCTGTAAATGTGAACTGGTGGATCGATTAGAAGATAATGCATTATACAAATATAAACAGTAAAATATTTAATTAATATAATATTGATAATTGTTTAAATTAATATAATAAATAATACTTTTGACTCACCCACTTTCTAAAATGCTTTAAAGGCTGAAATGTGAAGTGTATCATATTATAAAACTTTTTGTTTTTGTGAAAAATTGTATCTGAACTCTAAATCAGTCATGTTAGAGTTTAATATGGTACTATAGACATTGCCCCACCCCGCTCATATGGTATTAATTTTATTTGTGCAGGTCTTTAAAAAAAAAAAAAGTCTTAAATTTGAGCGTAAAAATCCTGCAGAAACCCTGGATTATTATTTATTATAATTGTATTAAATTTTATTTTTTATTCTGTGGTTGTAAATGTCAGCATCTTTTGTAATGAGTCTTTTCTCTGCCATGATTCCAGATCCTGAATCCTCCTCCGTCTCCCGCCACAGTGAGGTCGCAGTATACGATGGAGTTCGGTTACTCGTCGAACAGCCCGTCGACGCACCGATCGTACAGGTAACGACGGACACGTGTCACACGGATGTCATGCTAATGTTTATGATTCAGTGTCTGACTGGGAGTGTTTTGCAGCTACAGGCCGTACAGTTACCGTCACTTCGCCCCTCCGACGACGCCCTGCAGCACAGACGTGTGCGACAGCGACTACACGCCGGGCCGAAGGGCTCCGCACGCGTCCAGCGCCGCCGCCAAGGGCTACACCAGCGACCTGAACTACGACTCGGAGCTTGACTCGTCCTGAGCCCCGCCCACCGCTGCGTAAACTGTAAATAATGATTTTCTTACTTAGTAGTTTTGTCGTCTTTTCTAGTTCTTCTTCTTCTTGAATCGAGATGCGTTTACTTGACAAATTAAATGACTTAAGATATTAAGTCTTGTTTTCTAAAAAAATATAAAAATATCTGCCAATGGGGTAAGAAAAATAATCTTAATTCAAAGGCCAAACAAGTATATTTTTGCAGATATTTTTGCTTGTTTTAAGCGAAAACTAACTAAATTTTTATACTTTTTTCAGAAAACAAGACTGAATATCTTAAGCCACATTACTTGTAAAGTAAGTTCATCTTGATTCAAGAATTTGTAGATGTTTATACTAGAAAACAAGACAAACATACTAAGAAAATAATTTTTTTGCAGTGTAAGCCCCGCCCACTGCTGCGTAAGCCCTGCCCACGGCATCTGTGTACATATCTGATGGCGTGATGACTCTGACACGTGGGCGTCTGTCTCGGGTCTGGCGGCTCTCTGTACATTTAAAAGAAAAAGAAAACATATTTATATATTTTCTATACAGTGTTTATTGGTTATGCCATAGAGCTTTGTATTAAAAGAAATTTGTACATTTTTTTTTTTTTAAGAGAAATTTATTAAATCCACACAGACGTGATAGGTTGCCTTAATCCAGGAGTTTAGAATCAAACGTGTTCATGCCAAATAGATGGAGACGCCCGTCGCCCCCTGCAGGCTCGGAGCAGCAGCACACTGTGACCTGAAACTCAATGAGCCGCCAAACAAGATGGTACTCGTATTTTTCTACTATTTTTGTATTGGAGACGTCACGGATGCGGCCTCCTCTGTGCGTGACGAACTTCAGCGGCGCTTTAGGAAACGGGCGGGAAGTGATGCGATCCGAACCGGTCGAGCGAAAGCTTCCCGCCGCGCACGGCTCACAATCACGGACTGCTTCTCGTGCCTGACCGTTTTTTACAAGACCTTGGAACCATTTTTCACTTTTTTTTTAATCTCAGTGCCCACAAAAGGTCAATTATTTTTGTACCATATACTGTGTAGATACTGTATTTATAAGCTATAAAGAAGAATCTTCATCTTCATCATCATGTCCTTGCAGTGCTGCTGTCCTGTTACGCCCCGCCGGTGAATGTGTGACAGTCCTGAGACAATCTGTGTGTGTGAGTGTGTGTGTGTGTGCGCGAGTGTGTGTGTGTGTGTGTGTGTGTGTGAGTGTGTGTTTGTAAGGACTCTTGAAGTTCCTCTAGTGTCTCCAGCTGTTTAGTTTCCCATAATGCATCTGTTTCTGTGTTTATAGCACTTCTTCTTGAGCTTTTATAAAGGGAGACTCACCAGCATAAACGTCCTGTATTACCCAGCATGCATCAGGGCATGTCAGTCGTGTGCTGCTCAGTCCTGATTGTGTTGGTTTGTGTCACACGCTGCCTTCAGAGCGTCCTCCATGTTCACGACAGCAGCTTCGGTACAATCACGGATGTGTCAGAAACCGCTTTTCCAAATCTCTCCGTGTCCCAAACCTCCCTTTAATGGCCTGATCTGCAAGGGCTTCTGGGTAACGCCGTGTTTTTAGTTCCTTTATGATTCTGCTCACACCAGCGTTTCCGTTTTCTTAACTGCACTTTACAGGACCGGTTCTGTGTGTGTGTGTGTGTGTGTGTGTGTGAGCGTGTGTGTGT